TGTTTTCATTCAAAGGCTTTATGGCTTTTCCTGTAATACCTGGTGGGCCGGTCTCTAGTCAAAATGCCCGGGCCCAATCTAACAACAACGAGTTTAATGGCATGTGTAAAAAAAATGTGGCTTATGAAGAAAAAGCTCTTATTTTCATATTTTTAAATTCTAATGCAACTGAATTAACACGATGTTTAACATTAGAAACTGTAATTCATGCTTTTATTACATCACGCCTGGATTACTGTAATTCCATTTTAATAGGAGCAGGGCACTTTGTCACACTTGCTGCGGCTCGATTTTTAACTGGTAGAAGGAAATTCGACCGCATCACTCCGGTTTTGGCCTCCTACATCGGCTTCCAATCAAATTTAGGATCCGTTTTAAAGTTCTTTTATTGGTTTTTAAATCTTTAAATGGTTTGGCACCCGTTGATTTGTCTGATTTGTTGAAAGCCTTATGTTCCCACTCGTTCCCTCTGGTCAGCCGAGCAACTGCTGCTTTCAGTCTCTAAGTCACGGCTGAAACTCAGAGGAGACCGGGCGTTCTCTGCTGTGGCCCCGTTGCTTTGGAACAATCTTCCTCTTAATAGTAGACAGGCTACATCAGTGCCGTTTTTAAGTCCAGATTAAAAACCTATTTTTATTCTCTGGCTTTTAACTCTTTGGGTCACTGACATCTTTACTAATTTTATTGTTTTGTTCGGTTCTTATATTATTATTATTTATAGCTGTATTGTTCAGCACTTTGGTCTACCAGGTGTGTTTTTAACGACGAAATAAACGACGCTGGTGATGATGATGATATTACTTCAATTTCAATCTGAAAAATGTTATGAAAGCCTTGAAATTAATATAGTTCTGTACACCCCGTGCCCCCCTTAGACTCACCCCTGTTTACTTCCGTGTAAAATAAGACTGCTGTCGTCAGCCTTCAGTAAGCTCTAGAATTCAACCAGTCTGGTATCAGATTAAGTTAACAGGTCATCTGCATGACTTCTGAGGCTTACTGCAGATTACTCTGTGTGTGTGAATGGAGCAGCTACAAAGTTCGTTTTGCTTCACGTTGGAGTTGATCAGGTGCTTTGATGAAGGACTCGGCACTCTAGATTTTTCCCAGTAAAGGTTTTAATGGTCATCACTGGAACTGTGCTCCTGTTTTGGACGCCAGAAACACGTTTTCTTTCACTCAACCTGAGCTCTGTTTCTCGGTAACGCCTTCGCCTCTTCGTGGTGTGTAAACTACGGAGCCCCTCTGATGACATGGTCCATAAAATAAATAAATTGTGGCCACAAAATTCTACTTTGTGCCCTTGAAATACTTTTTGTGGCC